AAATTTGTCTCTTTCTCAGGAGGAAACATCTCCTGGCATTCTGTCACTCAAAGACCTCATTTCTAACAATTTTTCCCTTTTTTATCTCGTTTTCCAGCTCGAAAAGTGCTCTCTATGTTGACTAAATATTCCCGTTTCACGAATTAACCTTATTCTTACAGCTCGCAATGGTCACTGCATGGAGGGCCGCATCTGGTTTACTTCTACCTCTGGTTCCTGCACTTGCTGTATTCGGAAATGCTCTGGTGATAATCGCTGTCTACAGGGAAAAATGTCTTCAAACTGTTACAAATTTGCTAATTGTTAGTCTAGCCATTTCGGATTTTATGGTTAGTTTCAAATAATTTTCACTGGTAAAATCAAATTCGCTAAATAGAGCCCACGCTTCATAGAATTTGGCAAAAGTGACATACACTCCTTTTTCTCTTCAAAGATCTTCTTCTCAAACTTGCCATTTCAATCCCAGTCTTTTACTGTATTATTCAAATAATTCGTCAAAAAGTCCATAATTAGATTTAAATGTTCCAGTAGTCTTCGTATTTTTACCAGGGCTCGGTATAGGTGGCTTGTAAGCAAGCTGGATATCGTTTTTAGGACAAAGAACAAAGGGGGCATCGTTTTTGAGGCCGAAAAGACATAAAAATTGTGAAGTCTTCTTAATCGATGTTTCGTTTTTTGAGGGTTTTTACGTTTATGGTTCAGGGTCAAAGGAGACTTCGTAAAAATTCGCGAAAGTCAAGGGGGACTTCGTTTTCTGCATTTCCCAAAAGCCACCTCGTACCGAGCCCTAATTTTACTATTCTCTTTGCTTGATTCATCTCTGCAGAAAGAACTTTGATAAATCAGAGTTCCCTCAGAAACCCCAAGCAAGCGCGTTCTCTGAAAATAAAGTATTCTATGTTTTTTTGCTCTTTTGATCTAGGTCACCGAAGCGATAGAATTCGTAAAATCGACCCATTGCCTAATTTGAGTATTTCAGAATCTAAATGACACATTTTATTCCTCCCATGTCCTCCCTCCTCCTCTCCTATCTTCCTGATTTGCCTTGAAACATAAAAGGACCCCATATGTGTACATGCGCTCTCTAATACGCGCTCCGATCCTATACGTCTCCACACCAAATGAATGTGAAGATAAGCAACAATCTGCTACTGACATATTGTCACCTCAGTGTAGATCTCAAAGTCCTGCTTGCTCATGTATTCATAATTCGGCAATGTAATATCAGTTGATCAGTGGTGTCTACATTAGACAGGGGGGGGGGAGAGAATTGGGCAGAAAATTGGGTTTATAAAGCCTAATCCAAAGAATATTTGCTTTTTCAGGTCGCCATCTGCGTTATGTCATTTGGAGTATATTATGAGGTTAGCTTTTTCTTCTTTTTGAACATGAATTTGAGAAATTCTTTGTGAGATCAAAAAACTAAAAACCTCCCAGAACTCTTTGCATTGTGCATGCCCATAATCTTATAATTTACTGTAATTCTTCTATAAGGTCTCTCGTTTGCTCGGATGGCCATTTCTATTTTTTTCTGCTCGAGACCTTGCTGGTGTTAGCGGTAATACCTCTGTTGTAAAAACAAATCAATCAAATGCCTCTGCATACATAAACAAGCAAAACAAGATATACGGTGAACAAATTGCAATTTGGGGTCCATAAAATTTGGAAAAACAAACGAAATACTATTTTTCCTTTAATTTACAAGCTCGTAGATTTTTATATACAAGGAAAAATCTATCAAGCTTCCGCTTCAAGATAAACAACTAATCAACTTATAGCGTTTCTGCTACTGATTAAATCTCATTACTTTGACTTATGCCCGAGTTTTATCACGTTGATTTAGAGAATAGGATCATATATATGGTGTTTGAGCGAATGAGCATTTTTTTTTTATAATTTTGAAGCCCATTCGTCAATGATCAAAATGAGAACATAAATTATTAACAAATACGTACTTAACATAGGAAATAAATTTGATGCTGCAATCTATTATAATGCTTAATCTTATTTGCGCACGTGAGAATAACTTCAGTAATTCATTTTCCAGAAACCAAAGACCGATTATGAGAAATTTTCGATGACTAATTTTCTTATAATCCTACTAGGCACTTTTCCGACGTGAGACAAACGGGCAAATGATGTGACACAGACTTCTTTCAGTTGCTTCAAAAATTTTAAAAATTGCTGGGTCTTGATTCAAAAATATAAACATCGTCTAAAAAAACTTACAAAAGTAGGAATCCAAATAAGCTTCTTTTAAAAGTCTTACCACTTGTCTCATATTTGAGCAGATAGAAAAGAGAGTTGAAAAATTTTGACTGTTTTTGAAAGCATTCATTTTAAAGATTTTGACTTGATTGATTGAACATTACTTTTCTTTGGCCACAAGTTGTAATCGTTTGGAGAAAAAACTTTTGCCAAATTATATAGAAAAGCGAATGAAGGCTCCCCAAGGAACCATCAAAGAAGAATTTTAAATAAATATTGGGTCCTTTCGTATTTCTCCTCTGCACTGATAGTGAAGCGAGGAAGAATTAGTTCAGTCGTGTGATTTGTTGAATATCTCTGCTTTTATCAACATTTGGCACACACACTTGTAAAATTATAGTTAATTGATAAATACACAGTCAAGTAATCAATTAATTAATCAATAAACTCTTCCTCGATATAAATATAATCCAGTAAGGAAAATGTCCTTTCAATCCGTTGCTAATCTTGCCTCCTACATGGCTTTATCATAATTGCTTCGTAAAGACCTGAGCACTTCAAAACAGAACAAGTACACCGCAAATTTTGCGATACATTGGTTGGCCTTGTTTTCCGTACTCCAAAGCAGCCTATTAACCTTAATTTAGCTTGTACTTTAACCGTTGAGGCATCCATTTTGATTACAATTGTTGTACTCATAGAATGTCGGGAAAGAATGTTTTTGAGTTCAGAGCTCGAATTTTGAGGAAGCGGAAAAATTCGCATTTTAACTATTAACCATTTTTATTCACTACTGGAAACTAAACTTAGCAATAGAGTATAGTTTTCTGTTCTAGAGAAATGACTTCAAATGGAATATGGGACATTTTTTCTGCAATGTTTATCTAGCCTGCGATGTGACTTGCTCAACTGCTTCGATACTCAATCTTCTTGCAATTTCCTTAGACAGGTTAATAATTATGTACAATCTTCAAATATAAGTTTATGAAACTATTAAAATTGATGAGAACATTCACTCACTAAACCTCCATAAATTTCTACTTGTTTTTGCAGGTATATAGCCATTAGCCATCCGATTTCCTATGCGCAATATGGCGCACGCGGTGGTAGGGCAATGACTTCAATCTCAATTGTTTGGGCTGTCAGTGCCGCTGTTGGTTTACCAATACTTTTGGGAGTAAATCCCATGGAGGAGGAGGTAGGAATCTCAGAACTCAATAAAAATTTGCAAGAAGCTGATTTTTGTTCAATAGAATCATAAAGTTGCGTAGGGTGGGCGTGCAGTGAGCGGGCGTCGAAAAATTGGTCGGGACTGCTCGGCGGTAATTTGACTGTTTTGTGAGTGGAAGAGAATTAAGAGGCATAATAAAGACATGATTACGCTTGTTTTCGGATCTCTCAAAAATGAGCGAGCGGGCAGCGATAAATTAGCCACAGCCGTCGGTCATACCAAAGCGACTCGGCCATATCGCAGCTACACGCGATCTGGCAAAATGCCAGATTCCCATAGATCCATCGCACGCGAATTCAAGGTGCGTAGGCGCACAGCTTTTGTAAGAGCTGATGCAAATTACTGAATCTTAATTGCTAAAAGTGCGTTTACGATGATTTTTGAGCGATCACAGCAATTCAAATCCCGCTGCGACCGAAATCGCGCGAGGTATGACCGACACCAAATGCTTCCGCTGCACGCCCACCTCAGCAGTGGATTTGAATTTACTATGCTTGAATTTCAAATTTCAGCTTTGCGAATTCGGCAATGCATACTTCAACATACTTTCCTCCTTATTGTCATTTTTCCTACCTTGTACTGCTATGATTGCTCTATACTCGGTCATATTCCGACGACTGCGACAGAGGGAAAGGGCGAGAACTTTACGACGTACAGCCAGGAATGAAAATTGCAAGGTGAGAAATTGCAGCTTTTCTGGATTTTCGTTATGCATCATGTTATTATTGGGAGCATGTATCTGGTAATCTGAATCGAAAATTATGTAACAAGTTCTAAATAGTAATTCCCTGCTTCGCTCATACACATCTACGGAAGTGCATTTTCATGTTCTAGATTGTTTCTTTTAACACTTTTCTTCCAAAACAATTATTTTTCATGTCCTCATTTAAAATAAAAGTGCCTAAATAGCATCTCCATGCCTATCTTGCTTACTTCAAGACTCGCGTTATTATCTTCAAATAGAGATTGGACCAAACAACCTATGCTGAACTTGGATCCAAAAAATGATTGGAATCTGAGTGTGAAATGAATCTAACTTAAGTCATCACGAACTTTTATATTTATTTATTTATTTATTCATTTATTTATGCATACGCTGATGCGCCCAACGAACGTATCAGTTCAACAAAGTTGTATTGACAGGGACAAACGACTAGACAAACAATATTTCTTAGTTTTTATGTTAAATAATTATTTCAAATTTACGGATATGCGCTTATCTCATCTTTATTTCGATATTTACTGCCTAAGTTGCATTTTTAAAGTACACAATACTTCTTACAAAACTTGCAGAATTTCAGTGAATGTCGCAAACTTTTGGGAATTTATCGGAAGTCCGCGACATTCCGGGATTTTCGCGGAATCACACGAATCACGCAAACTACGCGCTCTAAAATCTCCTTCGAAATGGATAGAGTTTAATATTGTCACATTTGGCAGTCCACGCTCCGCACGGGTCTGTCTTTTCCACTGGGACAAATGCTTCTGTCATGCAAAACCAGCTAATTATATTTTATGCAAAGAAATAGACAATGGCCGCTAATAAAATTAAAGGACAGCTGAAATACATCATAAGCAATGGTATAGCTCGCATTAGTTGTGCCATTGCTTACAATGCATTCTTGTTAGTGTAAAGTTCCATTGTGATATTATGCTTTCAGTTTTATGGCCTCAGAGTATAGAGTAATGCTGCTTTACCTTGTTAAATAGTCAAAGCAAAAAGGAACTTTCTTTCGAAAAATAAGACGACATGAACTGGCTGTAGATTTGTTGGTTGATATAATGCTCATGCAATGACAACAACATTTATGCGTGAATAGTGCCATAGGTCGCAATGTTTCAAGAAGTGCGCTCTATAATCATTTTTCACGCGCAAATGTTGTGGGGCGATGCAAGCATGGCAACTTTTACACATAAATGTTGTCCGTATGGGCAGTATATTAATCGTACGTTCGCTAACCCTGTTAAAAGCTCCTCTTCAGCAGAGGGTCAATGAGGAGGATGTGACAAAGAAGAAGTTGGCTGATTGTCACGGAAAGGTACAGCGTCAGCTGCTATTGTAACTTACTGTGTCGTACTTCACTATGTACTCGACTACCGTAATCCAAATTTCAGATGAGTGCAGCACTGTTGGGAGGTGCAAGAATGGCACGACAGATGGGCAGACATTTCAAAAACAAGACCGATCAAATTTTGCTAGAAATCAGTTTTCAGGTAAAAATAGTGATAAACTAGAATTTTTACAAGGAAGACACCCAAGAATTCTTGTTTATATTCTTCTGTTTGAGATTAATTTGTTAAGCCTAGGAAGACGCATGCATCTTTGCGGTCAAATTTTGACCTACACTGATGCTAAAAAAAACAGAAATGCCACAGAAGCGATCATTTGATATTCATTCCAAATAAACCATTGTTATGGAAAGTTTAACAGTAAAACATGAACTTGCTACAGTTACTTTCCCTCTCACTCTCCTTCCCCCCCCCCACCCCTTGGTGTCTTCCCAAATTAGACTACGATTCTATTATCCTAATCTAAAGTACAGATGCTTGTAATGTACTTGACCAGCTTGATTTGTGCAAGAAAAGTCTAGATAATCGGGCTTTTCATTTTGGATCGAAACACGCTCCTCTCTTCTTCCCTCTCCCCCCCCCCCACCCCTCTCCCGCTCTCCTTTTCCTTCCTCACAAAATTTTGTCTCTTGTGAAACTTGCCTTAACATATAGCTCGCATTTTATTTGTAGTTTCACTGCAGCAAAATAATTTGATCTTATTCATCTCTGGTAAAACTTACTATAATGTGTCCTAATTTTTTTTCATACCTAGTTGATGAGTAAGAATAAGTTCTTCATGATTCGTTTTTTACTTAACCAATTCTTTAGACCTCATCATATCCCTCGATGTCGGGTTCATCGGATGATATTTCCACTACTCCTCTTGCAAACGATTTAACTTTTGCGCCACCAACACTTACATCCTATTTGAATCCTTCTAATACCCATCCTTTCGTCAATAATAGGAAAGCACTCGTGCGATCTTCAACCACTAATGGAGGTATTTGAAGAATTCATTCTATAAAGCTATTTTATTCAATTTGCATTTTTTCCAGATCTGCACAAGAAAGAATTCTGGAACTCTAACAATGTCAAAAATGATGGCGAATTTGCAACGAAAACAAGGGAAAACTCGTCTAGTGAAATGCTGAGGTCGGCGTAGGAATTGAAAAATAAACTCTATAAGATTAGCGAGCAATTACTATGAATTATGGGCTGGACTACTCGGAACCAGGATAGCGTCTGCCGTGGGCTATTCTATCAATCGAGAAACAATTGAATTAGTTAGATTGAGAAACAAGGAAGCAAGAGAAAGCTCCGAGTAGATTGAGCTCTGAGATGGGTCAATGTTCCGTGATAACTCTTCAATGGTTTGATTTGAAGAAAAAAAAAGGTTAAAAGAAAGGCACGTTTGACGCTAAATTTGAAGCGTTATTATGTTCATGTAGGTAAGTTGTGAGGTTATATGCAGTTCAATAAACTTGACATATTGCAGTGCCCCTGCGGTGGCAACAACATTTGCGCGTGCAAAATTGTCACATGTCGCAAAGATCATACATAGTCCCTGTTAGAAGTGTATTTCTCTCATTAGCCCAACCGCAACGCCAGAACCTCGCGTCGCGTTGGCGGGCGGACAGCTTGACCATTTGAAATTTGCCTTATAGTTGAAAGTTCCATGCAAAGCGCTCGCGCTGTATTCGTTACGAAAAAGGAAGCATCTGGTGGACATAGACCGTATGCGCGCTATTATCGCCACTTTACGCACAAGTGTTGTCTACAGCGCAAAAACACAACATCAACCTTAAATCTACTAATTTGAACGCTGATCCCTTGCAGATCATTTGGCGACGACCTTATGGATTTGATTCCATTTATCGATTCCGAGAACACTTCAACAACAGCCGAGAGCCCTCGTCAAGAGCAAAATGACGTGAAATGCTTGGAACGAAGAACAATTGCTCGAAATGTTGCTGTATGTGAGCAGAAACGAAACTGCTATACACAACCATTGGTGGAAACTCGTAGCAATGCCTTTAAAAGTGCCTCGTCTTTTACGTTGTTGCTGGATATCTCTCCAATACCTCTGAAAAATACGTCGAGTCCAAAGACCGAAGAGATTCCTCAGTACAAGCAGGTATGAGCTTTTATTTAGCTGTAAAAGTAGTTTTACTAAGGCTTCTTTTCCACAGAAATTGCCCAACTTGCACCCCTTCTTACTTAGAAATAATATTTTCCAAAAACATTTTCTTGGCATTGAATCCATCAAATCTAACAGATTTTGTCTAACACAAACACCAAGCTAGGCAAAAAATATGGAATAGATAAACGAAAAATAGTTCAGCGATATCTTCTCATATAATTCCACAAACAGATTTGTTAGCCTTTATTAATTTCTTGGAAAAAAGAAGAATATTCTGAGCCAAAACGCCTCTATGTAAGATTTGTTGGTGAATTTTTTTTCAGCAAGCTAAAATGTTGCTTTTTCTACACCTCTTGCGTGCATGCAGTCAAAATTTGGAAAAAATTATTATTTCCTGTGGAAGAAAAAACTACTGGGAACTCTAATTATTTGGTAATGAATTCAGCAAGCCATAAAACTTCTTTTTTGAGCACGACTGTATATGCAAATCTGTTACCTTTACTCATCAGTTAGTTCTACAGATCGCAAAAACGCAAGACTGCATTGCGAAAAAAATTTCTCTTAAGATTATTCGTTTCAACAAAAACTACTCTCACATACTACAGTCTTGTTTATCACATATCATAGTGAAGATCCTATAAAATTTAGCAAGCGTATCAAAGAGGAATAAGATACACTTTATGAAATCAGCTGCACTGCTGCTGGTAAGAAACTTTTACTGGTAGTAAAAAGGTACAAAACTTTTGAACAACCCGGTTTTTTGGATTGTTGCAATTTATAAATTCGTCGGAGAGGAAAATATATATTGATTATTAGTTCGTTGCATAATTCTTGCACCAAATTTTCTGAAATTCTATTACTTTTTCAGCTAAAAAAATGTTCTGATTTGATAGATAATAGAGAGAGAGAGGGAGAGAAAATCTTGTGCTTCAGAATGCGTTTGCAGTAGAATTTCTCAAGGGCTTATGACAAATTTATAAGCTGATCAAGAGAAATACCCAAAAAGTGTTTTTTCCTCGACTTTTGGTTCCTAAAATTGCTAAAACGTTTACTGAAAATCAAATTTATTTTCGGTCTTGGTTTTATAACCTACTCTTTTTACTAAAAGAAGTCTGTAGCGACTGGATGCCTCTAGAAATAGACATGAATTACCAATTTTGTTCCACATTGATTTGCTAGAATGTACTACAAAGTACTACTTTAGGTATACATAACAAAAAGCAATTCTAAATTGATTAGTTTGTTCAAGCATTTTCGAATGATTTTTTCTTCTGTTTTTGGTGCAAGAATTGTGCATTAGCCTAATTCTATTAGGTTGGTGCAAAAGTAATGCGCGTTCTGCGAGTTCTCACTTTGACGTGCTATAACTTTCTAAAAAATCCATATTTTTCAGTGCGGCAAAGTTCATCAGAGGCACCAAACCTCTCTCTATACAGCGCACATTAAATTATGTTAACATCGCAAATCGGTGGAAAAATATGGATTGATAAGCAAAAAAAATTTTTTTGGAAATCTCGTTTTTAACTGATCATAATTTCCTTCAAGATTCGTCGGTATAAATGATAAGCTGACTGTCTTGTAGCCGCAAGCCAGTTATACAAAAAAGTACAAGAGGGCTCAAAGAAAGAATATTTGCGAAAAGGAAAAAATAATATTCAAAATTTTCCGCTTTTTTCGACATTTTTTCGTAGCCCTCAAAATCCCAAAATATGGAGATTTTTGATTTTCTGTGTGCTGAACAGCTTCCACATTTCTGCAAAAACTGTCAACAGGAGGCCCACCCTTACGCTTACAGAAATGAGCAAAACTTTGGCGATTGCCCTCTTCAAAGGAAATCTATGGGCCACAAAATAGCCAAAACCATCACTCATGTTGAGGAGCCGAGATCTCAGCCTAAGTAATCTCTAGGAACACAGTAAAGCGTGCATAACGTAGAAAATTTCTACTACATTAAGTTTTCAGAAGAATGCCTTTACTCGCGCTTAAATTCTTCCCGAGAAAGTAAGTGCAATGAAATTCTGGTTTTGAGTGCGGTTGTATGAAGCTCTATAAAGTTTTAACGAATGAGGCTAGGAGCTTCTTATAACCACCGTTGAATAGACCATGAAAGAAGCTTCATGACACTTTGCTAGTAAGTTTCATAGGAGAAACTTCGATGGAGAAAAGCTGTCTTGAAACAAGGGCTAGAAAAACGCGCATCACTTTTGCACCAACCTAATAGATTGCTAAGATCTTGAATGCTCAGAAAAGTGCATAAAAAATTGCGGCATTGTATAAGGTTTTTTAATGAATCTCATTCTTAACATTCACTTACTCAAGAGCAAATTAGCCTTCTGTAGAACGGAGTTTTTTTTATTTTCAAACAGAATATAGACGTGCTCTTGAATATTTCACAAAGCAGAAAACAAATATTTTCTAAATTTTTCCTAAACTTTAGTCCAAATTTCGCCTAAACTCAAAAAGCTTTTTTCTCTTCTACACTCTATGATTATTGAACAGGTCATGCTGCGTCATCACTTCCTGTTATGTTTGTGATCAAGCTGTGATGAGCTAGAATCTCTACTTGTTACAGATGCAAAAGAAGCCTTGTGTGATGAATCACTACAGCGTTCATCAAGCCGGACAAAATCCAACGCCATTATCTGTTAGCGAATCTGTACGCGGGTATAAGAACGATTTATGGAAAAGGTGCATTTTTTAGTATTTCTGTGTTAACAAACTTACCACTGGACTAAAATCTCAAATATTGAAATGGCCATAACTTGATCTGTTGAGTTAACAAACGCCATAGTTGTTGTGTCTATTTATAGATCCGCACTCTAAGTATTTCCACTCAGATTTCTTCAAAAAAGTATTTCCCCTCACTTTTATTTGTTAATATTTAGAAATAACAAATGCTTAACTTGAGATGTAGAAGTGAGCGGAAATTTTGACTTACATATGATAATGCTCCACGCAGATTCAAGCTTGAAAATTATTCGAGTTTGGCAAGAAATAAATTAGGCAAAAAAAATTAAAATAGTAAAAAAGCTTTGGCACGTCGGCAACATAGGCTTCAAATGCTTTTGCTGATGCGAACTTTAAAAATGATGGATAGTTTCCAGTTTAAGACAATAGTGAGAAATTAGCATTCTCGCCATGTTATTAGAAAAGCATAGATTGTCATTAAGACTTTATTGGGTTGGCTAGAAAATAATATGTTAGCATGCAATCCTCTACGAAAACTTTTTTCGTTATTTTTTTATTCATAGATTTTGCGGGGAAGTAGTTCAAAATTTCCCACTATCACATATCAACTGCTCAAAATTTTCTAATATCAGTAAAAGACAAATATGCCTCAACAATTTCAAAAGCCCGCTTTTGTAATTTTCTAGCTTCGTTTTCATGCTGTGATAGATGTAAAGATGAGTAATCTGGTATTTGTATACATACAAGTTTTCTCCATTAGCTTTTATGATAAACATAAAATTTGCGATTGCTTTTGACGGAAAAAGCAAATTTCTCACGTTTGCGCACAATGCGAATTGGAGTATCTCACCTTGCTTTTCCTTTATAGGGAAACAAATTTTACTCAAGCAAAAATTATATCCCAGTTTTCACTGAACTGCTCATCCTGAGAGCCGATCACTGTAAATTTGTCTGCAGCATTCGTAAGAGCTGCAAATACGACAATCATTCATTAGCCAGCCTAATAATACGGTAGTCCCCTTGTCAAAAACGTAGTCAGAAATGTTACCTCGAACGTTTTGGAATTTGATGTTATCACGGCATTTTTTGCGTCACTTTTGAAATATGATTTCAACTGTATTTATCAGGTTTTTATTAGGGTCGGACAATTTCTTTTACACTTTTTGATATTTTTTTCTGGAAATATCCGTAAGATTCCTGAAAACCCCAAAGTTGCGACACACTTAGGACATAGTACGATTTACTTTCCAGCGCAAATGAGCAACAAGTTTACGGCACTTTTGTGAACACATTCAAATATTTCTTTTTACTGTGCTTCTCCTCTTCGACAATTTTTTTAGAAGTATTTTGACATTGTCTCTTACAAGGAGGCACTCCGATGCCTCTAGCAAAGACCTTTTCACCTGACCCCATGCGAACATGAGATCTTTCAAAAGCCTTTGTAATTCTCAAGAATAATGGTAAAAAAGCTCAACAGAAATTATCCGACAACTCAACATATGTAGCATAAATCCCCGCAGCCAATCAGTATATCAATTTACCATAAGAAATGCTGAGTCATGTGTTATGTTCTCTTCAAAATAATTTAGATTAGCAAATTTGGTGCAAATCAAGAGTTAGAATTTTGAACATAGATGAACAAAACTTTTGGCGACCTAATGATCTACGTTATTATATTCGCTTTCTCCTAGCGAAGAAGGGTAGATAGGGATAATACAGTCTACTCTACAATTTTCCCGCAGTAGCGGAAACATATACCACATATCTGTTCTATCATTTTTTTCGAAATCAAGGGCCAAAGCAAATTTTATGTAAGACATGGGAGTACTGACCCAGAAGCCTTAATCAGTCGAGATTCACTTTTATCTAAGAGATTCGACGTGAACTCTTCAACCCAGACCGTACTTCTTCTCAGTGGACCATTTGGCGTGCTCGAGTAGCGGCCGGCGAAAATTACGATCCGGCTCTGAGCCTAAACTTAAATTTCTTGGAAACAAATGGATCTTTGAGCTCCCTCATATGTATAATAGTTAATCAGGCCTCTCAATCAGGTCCCACTAGGAACTAGGCATCCACGGTTTATCTGACACTACAGTTAACGAAAAACATGACATATAAATCTATGTGGCAATTAATCAAAGAAATTCAGGGTGACGAACGGATGGAAGACAAGACCGTCACGGCAGCTTGTGAAACGAGCAACGAAACAAATGCATCGTGAGCACAAAGCAACCGTTACGCTAGCTGTAGTACTGGGTATGTACCTCTTCAATTGATTTAATATTCGTTTGATGCAAAAGTTCTGTCGGATGAATTTCAAAAATCATCAAATTTTATTCGCTAGATAGAAGAAATCATTCTCTTTGTGGAAGTGCCTTTGCTGCTCTCTTATCGACGGTAGCTTTTGAGATGGAAGCAGAAGAATAAAATTACTTCAACTTTGGTCATTTTGAACTAGGCTGCTTAAAATCTGAAGCTTGCGATAAAATTCTGAGCAAGCAGTGTAGCAAGTCTTTTGATCCACAGTTTTCAACAGTGCAGAGTTTGTTTTAGAGGAGCATTTCTGTGAAGAGTTATGATTTCCAAAAAAGTGCTAAAAAATCAAATTTGCTCTTTTTGCTTACCCAAAAACCCTAACTCTTCACAGAGATGCTCCCTTGCTCGGAATTTTTTCTCAAGTTTCAGTTATTTAGCACCCTAACTGAAAATGATCAGAGTTAAAGTACTTTTATTCTCCTGCTTCCATCTCAAAAGCTACCCCTTATTAGAGCGCAGCAAGGCATTTTCACAAAGGGAATGGTTTCCTCTGGCTAGCAGAATAAGGTTTATGCAAATCCGTTAAGAGAGCAGAAGTTATGATTTTCCAAAAATGATGAGCCAGAACTTTTGCATCAACCTAATAATTTATAAGTAATAATATACCATAATGCGACTGTATAGAGTCACCATTTCCAATTTTCAAGCATCATATTGTTTCAAGATTACAGTATATCAAACTATATCATTACATTTATTTGTTTGAAGGCAGTGTCTCACCAAAGTTGAGGTCGCGCGGATCTTCACATATTATATTATAGGGACGTCTAAACAGGCCATTGCAAGAAGTTCCACTCAATTTGACCCCCTCCACGCTAAGAAAAATTCGCTTAAAGTGGTACGCGAAGAGCGAGTTGGTACGCGCTGACGACTCCTTCGGTCTCCCCCCTTACGCGTTTGAACATGTCTCTCCACTTGGCATCCACCTCCCCTCTCTTGCTGCCACTGTGGCTAAGGCTGAAGTTGGAAGGTACAACTCGTCTATGTTGCTTCCATGGGGCCTCCAGAAAACGGGGTTTTTGGGAACTTTGTGCGATTTTAAGCCCATACAGTGCTAGACAGGGTCCGACAGGCTTGCAAAATGCAAAAATCTCGGCAACTAAATTTTGGTGAGACACTGCCTCTAAATCATCACTAATCGTCATGGACAAAGATGTAATGTGATTTTTTCATTTCATCTGTTAGATGTTATTTTTGCGCATGCAAAATAAAAAGCAACGTTGAATGCGCACATCTTTGAGTGTTATATGAACCCTATATACTGCGTCGTTTTTTTTTTGTTGAAGAGTTTGACTAAATCTTTGTTCATACAGCGAAATATCAAAACGTAATTACAATTTACAATTAATAATTGGTAATTTATAATTATTTACAATTTCTTACCGAAAAGTTTGTTGGATTCGAACACGAAAACTTGCAAAACAAGGAACTTCCTCAAAAAAAACATTGTACCTTTGTAACGGCATTGAATACAATATTCGTTCTTGCTTCTTTAATACTACAAACAATCACTAGACTGTTTTTTACTAGTTAAAAATTCATCAAATAAACATATTTAAGAGGCTGACTAACCAAAACGAACGGGAAGTACGATAAGTTAAATATTTCCTGTTTCTAAGTATGCACATCTAGCGCTTGTAAGCCTTCTATACTAATCTAACGAAGATTTTTTTTCAAATACCGCCACCGTATTGAAATAAAAATTTTTGCTCTTTGGAGCAGAAATTATTATTGTAATACGGCGGTGATGAAAGCTAGTAATAAAAACCCAAGCGTATTTTTTGATTTTCATTTGTTGGAAATGCTAAAAGATTTCGCAACCTCTAGATTTACTAAGGAGTTGAGTTTGATGAACTATTTCCTATTACCAGTATATATATGAAACTGGTAAGATGCCGCCACAAAAAATGTAAGTCTCAAATATGTTCAATATTTGATTTTTGCGCAGAAAATTTCCATTGTACATGGCAAAATACCACATAATACACAATGAAAAAATATTATACAGATGTTACCTTAGTTTCGAGTTTTTGGTGTCAGATTCATCATTTGAGTAGCTGTAGCTATCTGATTAACCCAAACTGAGCACAGAACTATGTACCACAAAGTAGTTTACTTTGAATATTCATTGCATTTAATAGTACTTACTCTGACGGGGAACTCCTCCCAAAACAATGTTCTGCACATAATGAAAAGAATTGGAGTACCTCGATGTAATTCTTTTTCGCTACAGAAAAAAAACATAATTTCATGTAAATTTTCATTCATGATGAAACTCCCTGCTTTCCATTATTTCAACCTTTTTTTTTCAGCTGTGTTTCTCTTCTGTTGGTTGCCTTTCTTTACACTTCACCTCGCCAATTCTATTTGCCTTATCAACTCACCAGAAGGAGGATGTATGGGAGTTTTTCCTCTTTTTCTGGCAACATGGCTGGGATAGTAAGTTTTGTCAGTCTTTATAGAATAATTTTTTCAACATTTTACTTGCAGTATCAACTCTTCACTGAACCCACTGATTTATACGGTGTTCGACCAACGTTTCCGTACTGCCTTTCGTTCCATACTTTGCTTTTCGTCCTCACGAAGATGAGAAATTCTACGACTTCGATTTGTTTATAATAAACATATCCTTGATTTTCAAGTGTTGATACAAATTACAAAAACGTAGAAGTTATGATAGAGCGACATCGCCTTACAATCATGGTTTCTATCAAAGAGCGCATATGAAGTCCAGGCGGGGAAGGAGTTTGCATGATAATAAATTGATGTGCCTAGACTTACAACATTTACGCATTAAACAACAACTTGTGATGTCTAATAGAATGGAAAATTATCACGCGTTTTCGAAAAGCGATGATCCTGTCGAAAACTGCTGCAAAAAATCCCTATAGCAGTTATAATTCACAAATTCGATAGGCTAGCGTCCCGAAGTTCATTCGCACCATTTCCAAAAATCTATAGCTTGCTTCCTTAAAAAATTTGCACAGTTTCGAAGTGTTTGAAGGAACAGATTATGAGCTTTACAACAGCTTTCAAAAAGCTTTGTAATAGGCATACACTGCAAAGAAGCTGTGAAAAAAAAACTACATTTTTATTTTTTTGTTTGCAATTGCAAAAATGTTTAATTTGCACTAAAAGTAGGAAAAGTTAATATCACAAATTTCATTAGCTGCTCTTTCTACCTGGTGCAAAAATTTTACTGATTGACTTCTTTATGAAAATTTACATTTTTGAGCAAGGATACAAAACAGCAGATTTGATTTTTTGGCTTTTTTTTTCTCCGTATCGCAATTTTGACAGATTTGCTTGATCAGCATGAATTTTTCTCAAACAAGGAGCGAAAAAACTTCACACTGCTTCAATTTTTTGTAAAAGTTTTAGCTTTTGGCAACTCTGCACAGAAAAATTAAAATCCGAAGTTTTTCCTTCAGCTCTTATCTCTGCAATTTATTACATAATAGTAAGCCTTCTGGATGCTCCTGATATAACTGCATAAAAAGAATCTTTTCAGCAGTGAAAGCGAATAATATGTCTATATTAATTATTAATCATGGCTAAAGCATTCTTTTTGTGCAAGTTTTGTATTTGCATGAGTCATTCTCGCAAAATATATGGCAATTGCATCGATTTTTTGGACAAGAAGCTGAAAGAGAGGACTTTTTACAGACGATGTTATACAAACAGCCAATTTCGTCTTGAAAAAAATTTATTAATCAATAGACAAGATTCTATGGATACGGTAATAGTTCCTGGAGGTGCTGAAGGGATGAAGTTTAAAACAGTTAAAACAGAAGTAAAGCGTAGCAATCTCCAACATCCTTGATCCACCTAGAGCATCCAAGGAAAAATTCGGCAACCAAATTTTTCAAGCGTTGGTAAGGTGCAAATCCTGAAAATCTCAATAGCTCTCTTGATGACCAGTTTTTGTGCCTAGAACGGCGTGGAACACACATTTTTTCGCTTTCTTTTTCCTCAAACAATGTCTAGTCCCTCACTGCCGAACATGCAGTATGATGAGCACAGTGTAAATGCGACCTATGCAAATGAATTGCGACTGGCCAACATGCCGTTTGATTAGCAGCAAAAAGACGAAAGAACTGAAGTGATCCTGAGCACTAAGAATTTTTCAAGAGCACCATTATAAAAGCAGCAGCTCCAAGCTTGAAGCACACCACAACTCAACAACTCATAAGGATGCAATCAGCACTCGTGTTTGGACTTCTGCTGCTTGGTTTGCTAAAAGCGGAGGTAAGTGAATTAGTCAAATAGCTTGATACATCTCACTTGTTTCTGTCCTAGTATGTGTGGTTGCACAAGAAGTGCACAGTCCTCGTCAAATCCTGGAGTTTTGGTTGCCCAGTTGCATAGGTTTTCTGGGAAGTATAACGTCCGTTCCTCAATATTTGAGAAACGCAACTGAAAAATCCAGGATTTCACGGGCTACGTGAGATCGTATGCAGTCGCACAGAATACGAAACGATTAGACTATACAATAAAGTCGTCTGGAACTCAATGCGTGTATTGCATAAGCTGCGCATGATCTCACGACTTTCATGCTTGCAAGTTCCCAAATCCCGGGTCGTTCCTGCGTTTTTCTTCCTTCTCAGCTTTGAATACAAATAGAACAAAATCGTCCCTAAAAACTGCTATTTCTGTTGCAATGGTTTTACCAGCGAATGCTACCTATCGTAAAATGCCGCTGCATCGTGCAATCCCAGATATTAAGCGATGATTAACTCTATTGGATTCCCTCTCAATATGGTGCGGTTGCGGTGAACAGACGGCCAAGTTTGTGCGTAAAAAACAAACAACTACGCCAGTAAAGCCGGCATTTTGCGCGCGCAAGTAACCAGCACTACGGGCGCAGCTGATTACTCATGCGCAAAATTTGGTCGCTCAGTCTCGGCACCGCAAACACACTTACCAAGACGAAATTTTGCTAGACTGATAGATTCGAAATGCAAATGATGGCAAATTTTTCAGATAGCTCTGGTTCGAGAGAAACGTTGTGCATGTGCGGCGCCATTTATCTCCTCGCCCTGCTCTTGTGGTGTGGGACCCACTCCATTCTGCTCTTGCAAGCCGATTATTGCATCCCCATCCTGCTCATGTGGACTCCAGACTCACGTGACCCACTGCAAAGCTTACTGTCAAAAAACTTGTCAACCCGCATGCGTCAAGAGTTGGATCCCTCTTAGCTGCCCGTCCTTCTGCGAAAGTCTCTGCTCAGAGTCGTGCATGCCCGGAAGAACGTACCTACCAATGAAACAAATCACTACCTCGGTGATACTACCCTACCAGTGCCCTAGGGTCTGCCAACAGACCTGTCACAAAATGTGCGCCATGCAATTGGTCCCCTCCAAATGCATGATCATGTGCCAAAGGCCCTGCGTCCGAAAATGCATCTTGGTATCACCCGTTCCACACGAGGTCGAGATAATGGCCGAGCCAGTCTTCCCAGCTCCTCCCGCATACCAGCTCTACGACGATGCGCCTCTTCCTCTGCCAGGACCAGGATGCTTGGACTCTGGATGTATGATGGACAACTTCCTGCCAGCTATGATTGATCCTTGAAATTTGAGAGAAAAATCATGAGAATTTTCATTGAGCACGTCATGACTCTCTACTCTAGCCCTCTATACTCGAATGAACGATGCTCGTTTTGTTATGGTTATGAACGACGAAAATAAAGACGTTTACATTATGAGCCACTTCACCGAATATTACCAGTTCAGTCACAAAACATTTTCTAATCTATTCTGCTGATTCTGCAGTCTCGAGGCCGTCAAGATCTTCATCCATGCTCATTCTAATCGAAAAACATATGACTTCACTCAGTGACAACTTCTATCGTGTGAGACTACATACTCACTTAGATGTACCAACCAGCATCGGCCCCGCGCTGGTATTCCTTTCGAGAACGCATGATTGCATGCGACGTGCTCTCGCGCGTAACGAAGTTCGTATGCGTCACCCGCATCGTCGAAAGCTGCCGCACGCGCGACGTCGCGTAACCGATGCTGGTTGGTACAGCCTTACTTTCTGTTAGATGGCCCGTCTTCACGTGACGTGCAGGCTCCAGCTCAGAAGTTTCCAGCGTTCCCTGTCCTTCGCTTCAAATATCTATAATCTTCTAGGTTGTCGTCGGTGGCTAGTGTCCATCTGTCGTCTGTTGTTCTCATGATGTGACCGGCCCATCGATGCTTCGCTTTCGCCACGCATTCCGGCTGGTCACGAAAACGGGACATTCTTCTCCTAGCTACTGCGAAGTCCGATTGGATGTCGCTGTCGGGTCATCTTCAGAAGACTACGCTCAAGCGCTCTGTGGGTGGTTCGTAGAGCTTTCGACATGGCTACAGCGTAGGCCCAAGTCTCAGCTGCGTAACAGAGCGCCGGGAGAACGGTTGAGTCGAACAGGTGGACATGAAGCTCTAGGTCCGTCATTTGGTTGGCTTCCTTCAGAGGCACGAAGGCTGCCCAAGCAGTTCTTTTTCCGCTGTTAAATTCTTCCGCGAAGTCGACCCCATGTTCATCGAACGTCCAAGATAGACGTAGGAAGAGTCTCATAGTAGGGATACCTTCCAGTTCCATTTCTTCACGCAAAGGGCGTTCTTTATAAACTGAATCTTCTTCCGATTCATTTGCACTCCGATCTTCTTCCCTACTTCGTTTATTTCCTTCAGCATCGTCTCTGCTTCAATGGTACTGCTCGAAAAGAGAACGATGTCGTCCACAAAACGAAGGTTCGAAAGGAATTTCCCACCAATTCAAGCTTCTCTCTCCCTAGTCCGGTGATCACCCACTCGCCGCGGTAAACAGCTTCGGTTGTGACGCCTTGTCGCCTTGTCGAATTTTCTTTTTGGAATGGTCAGAGGGCGACGGAATCGCTGCATCGTCGTTGTACAGCCCTTGTAACAGTCCTCTAACGCCCTCACATAAGCTGAGTCCACTTCTTGGTCAACTAGCTCTGACAGGATGGCGTTGTTTTCGACGCTGTTAAAGGCTCTAGTGGTGTCGACGAAGGTTAGAATGAGAGGCAGTCGGTATTTTCGACAGATTTCTAGACCCTCGAAACCGTCTGGATGTGGTCCATGCAGATGACTCCTTTGCAAATTCCAACTTGTTTTTGGGGCTGGGCTTCACCCACTGTCCTCATTATGCCATCGAGGATAATCTTCTTGGAGAGTTGTACGGCACACTCAGCAGGCATATTGGACGTTATTTCCGTCCAATATAGCCATAGTCTGGATCGCCGTACGCACTCTAGCAGGTAGAATCCGTAACGGAACATTCTCCAGCGAGAACAAGAGGCATCGGCACGCGTGTTGATGAGCTGTATTTGGTGTAGAGGTTCTTCGCCATAAATTCCATCTTGTATCGGGATGAAATCAGAGTCCCATCTTTGTTCAATAGTGCAGCCAGCGCTACGTGGACACTTCTTTGGACTTCGTCTTCCTTCGGCTGCTTCCAGTATCTTTGCTTGCCTGTACTTCTTGAGATCCTCCTGCAAAGCCGTTCTGCAGCTGGCGTTGCCTACTCGCTCGAGATGGGTTGCACTTGGATCTTGCCTCAGGGATCTCCTTCTTTCAAGTAGTTCCTTGGTGGTCTTCGAAATGCGTTTCAAGTTCTTCTCGAAGGTACTGAGGC